ACAGAGTATATAAAATAATTTCACTCTTACCTGGAAGTCAGGGTTGAAGCTGAACAAGAAGGTCTCTCCGGTGCCGTAACAATATTTACTGACTTTGAACGGATCAGAGGAAAAAGCCCCAAACACCTGGAAGACACAAGGAAGTTAGTTGTCATGTTTGTTTGAGATTTTTTTTTATAGTAATAAAACCTTGGAGATTGAAGTTTTACATTCAAACCTTTTTGTGTATGTCTTTAATGACGAGCAGCACGGGGCTGTCCAGACCAGCCATGTTTCTGTAAAGTGTCTTCAGGCTGCTCCCATGGATGGCTGTGCTGTAAACCAGATTCCACGGATAGCCCTGAGTCCGTGCAGGCATGTGAGCAGCAAGCTGTGGAGAAACAAGTTGTTGATGGGATGATGACCACAGAGATCTAACCACTGTTGATTATAATCAGAGGGAACTTGTCCACAGACAGATGTTAAACACAGTAAACTTACCTTCTGTAGTTGAAACTCATTGAGCAGCTGGCTCTGATCGCTCAGGACAGGGAACTCTTCATCACCCTCCTCGTACTCGTTTTCGTCTACCTCAGACTCCACTGAGCTGCACAGACTCAGGCGGCGCTTGGACTCCTTCACTGTGATTATCTGCATTGGAGCACAAAATGCAACACAGCAGGTGAGAAAATGTGTCACGCTCTCGCTCTGACATTTCTCAGTTCATTAGATGTTGATCAACTGGACAGATAAAATCATCTCACATCAACATAAGGTTCCTCACAGTGTCTGGCATAATAAAACACATTTACATGTTCCTGCTTGTTCTTCATAGCTCCTGATTTCTCTGTCAGCTTCTTCACTTTCCTGTCCCAAATGTCTGTTCTCTAACAGCACCATTCTCTATTTCAGGACTTCAGTTCTTTTCACTGTCATTGCGAGGAAACTCGAGCACACGGTCGCTCATTGGTTAGTTAGCTCCACAGCTTCTTTTTTTTACCTTTCTTAGGAAGTTATGACGCAAATAAGGAACCCGAAGGCTGGTTACAGGGAGGTTGGGACTTTGTGGAATCTATGCTGTATCAGTAATCGGGCTTCCTTGGAAACTCCAGAGTGCAGCAGCTCATTGGTTAGCTCTGCATATTTTTGGTTCATGAAAAGGAGGAGGAGGAAAGAGGAAGTCGATATAAGGATGGTGGGATTTCCTAAAATTTCAGATATAGCTGGCAGGTTCTCTGCCTTTCCTTTGCAATGTGTGTGTGAGTGTGTGTGGGCCGGGGGGTGTGTGGGGGGGGGCATTTTCTGCAGAAATTTTACAAAATGAAGAGCTTGGGTTGTTTTGTGCTCACTCCCTTACTGCATTTAACACTAAAACATTATAAATAATAATGTTCATACAATTAATAAACCTTGTTCTCTGACCTATGCTACAGATATGTGAATAATTGTACTTGTGTTCAAAACGTACCTCCCAGTTTTTTGCTGTCTTCTTTTTGCTGGCAGGTTTGCTAAGGTGTTTGCTGGCTGCAGTCAGGTCCTTTTCCTTTAGAGTGCTGGGATCATTCTTCTTCTTAAGATAACAAGACTTGCAGCGCTTCTTCTGTCCTTTGTTGTAAATATCTGGTGTCCATTCCACAAAGAAAGTGTAGAGGTGGTCCACCCTGCAGGTAAACACAGAGCAGTTATTAATAAGTTACCATCCTGCAGTGGGCGTGTTTATTCATGCAGCTTACCACAGATTGAATGTGCATGACATGTGTTTAAAAATGTAAAATTTAACACAATAAAGTGCACCATCGTAAAGTTGGATTAACAGAATTATGTTTAACTAACTAAAATTAAATATTTTCAGCATTTCCGTTTGAATAGTAAAGATTGACTGCATGAAAAATAAATCTCAGCAGCACGTCTGTGCATGAAATGTGCAATGTTTCGGATCTTGGTCCTGCAGGACTGATGTCTTTCAATAATGCAAAACAATGTGAAATTCTTTTTTGGATCGTTTTAACATTGTAGACATAAACATCAAAACTCTCATCAAATTCTAAACACGCGTGGCAAAAAAACTTTTTCCATCAGACAAAAATAAATCGTCTAAATATTCTGCATGTGTCAAATTGACAGAACCCAACGTATAAAGTCTTTATTTTAACTTCGCAGTGCATTTTAAATGGATCTAAATTTGACTGGATCTATATTAAATGAAATCTTTGTTTTCGTCAATGAGCTCTTGCAACAGCAGATTAACATCAAATGTAAATCTAAACGTCGTCATGCAGATTCAGTAGCAGAGAAAATCTCCACTTTCCAGACCCAGAATCACATTTAAATCCAGTTTTGATCATTTCTCTTACTTACTCTCCAACGCTGTAGGCAACTCCCATGGCTGACTGAAAATGAAGACTTAAGTGTAATGAAAACAACAGAAGTGCTAGTTTTCAGGCTCAGAGTTGAAGGAACTTTTCCACTCTGAGTCTGTCATCCCTGCTTTTTATACAAACGGATCAGTTGCTGAGATAAGCTCCTTTGACCATTGACCCTCCCCTTTTTAGCTGAAAGCTCCACACAGCCTGCACATAATTTTTGAACCGCGTTGTGCTGCCAGACGAGGGTTGAAACCTAAAGTTTGTAAAACATTAACCTGACCTGCTCTGGGTCCTTGTCCTTAAGTTTGGCTGCAGTTAATGTGTCAAATTAAGGCTGACGACAGAAAAAGATGAGTTGACAGAAAGATAAATGTCTGGAAGTGTGTCAGCTCGACTGATTATACTTTTATTGTGCCATTCAGTTTCAGGGGACGTCCACGCGTTGGTATCTTATCTCATCAGAGGTGAAAACTATGGAAGATTGCATTTAATTGAATTAAATGCTACTGAACTGAGAATGGGATTTTAAAATTTACTGAAATTGAACAATTCTTATATCTCATAACAACGAAGGCAGTATCAGAGTCAGAGTCAGAGTCAGAGTTTCTTTATTGTCATTCGCACCTCATGTGGTACATGTGGTGGAGCGAAATTATGTACGCAGGGTCCCAGTTACATCCAACAATAAAATGTATAGACAGAGGGTTAGCGCCAGAGAATCAAAATTATGATTTATTTATTTTTTGTTAATGGAACCGATGACCTAAAGTAAAGGTTAGTCCATTTGAAGCCAAAAACTGGAGTGTTGCTGTTTAAAACCATTACAATCTCCAAAACATCAAGGCAGTCCATGCAAATGCTGTTTAAAAACCTTTACAGTAATGTCTGATTTTATACGCCCTGGGTGTATTATGGTAGTCTTCGTCTGTCCGTAAGTTTTCTCTTGTCCAGCCCATAACTTCTGATCCACTCAAGCTAACGTGGATCATGATCATGATTCTGGCAGATCCTGATCACCCACTCCATGGTGAGTTCAAGTTCCTTCCATTTGGACGCAGGTATCAGCTGCTCAAATGTAGAATGAACAGACAGAAAAACTCATTCATCCCTGATGATCAGACTTCTCAATGAACAGTGATGACTTCATGTGCTGTTATTTTAATGTCTCAATATTTTGTGAGTATGGATGTTTTATGTGCTACTGACTGTGAAACAAATTGTCCCTTGGGGTTAATAAAGCTTCTTGAACTTGAACTCATCACTGGCTTGAGTGTCGAGTAATATTTTCATCACCCAGCTTCAAGGTTAAAGTCACAAATGAAGGTTATATGTTTCACTATGCTGTTGCTTGTCCAGAACATAACTTCAGATCCACTTAGGATAATTTAACAAAGCTTGTTACAGATTTGTACCACCACAGCTCTAAGGCCACAAATTAAAGTCAAAGGTTAAACATGATGTTTACTTGTCTGGGCCATTGCTAAAGGTTGCTGTATTCTTGTTTAATAGTTCGTCAACGGGCATTTAATGTGCTGTATGTGGTATTCGTGTTTAATATTTTGACTGTATACATTTTTTTTCATTATTTTTGAGTTGTTATGGTTTTAATGCAATGAAATGAATAAATTAAATAAATAAATATGTTGTTATTGCAGAAGATATTTTGCTATTAAAATTGCTACAGGCTGCACCAGACATTACAGCTAGCTAGCACTGCTGCTAGTTTAGCTTACAAACCATTTTCTAATGCTTTATGCTAAATAACCATGATATTGATGACAATGTAAATGTTTATAAAGAGCATTTATAGAAACAGCTGTAAACATTTCTGAGATCGGTGCTGTTTACAGACTTGAGTCTTGGCTTCATTTGGACTAAGTTTGAGTCGAAATTAAAATGATTTCCTCAGAAGTTGCACAACAAGCTCTCCTCAACAGATTTCAGCTGTAACTTTTCTCCAACCCCCCCCCCCCCCCCGCCCCCCCACCCATCTGAACCATTGCTTTAACATCTAAATGTTACATTAATCATCCATTTTACTCACTTCTCCTATTAGGGTTGCAGGGAGTTGGTGCTCGTTGCCAGCAGTTTTCATGCGAGAGCCGAGGGACACTCTGAACAGGTCGCTAGCGCACTAATCATTAAAGTGTTACAAAAAATAAAAATAAAATACTTAAAATGCATAATGGTTATTTTGATGATTATTTTCCTGACATTTCTTTAACCAATGTTTGTCTTTAGACCATTGGGCCTCCTTTTAGTTTTTCATTTCTTGTGTTAGTTTTTATTTTTTCTCTCTCATAACGGTGGAAAATAAAGAATAGCATTTGTACGATTAAAAGAAGGAAGCTTGTTACATTTAGCATTACAATGATACATTCACAGAAAAACATGGTGGGATGTAAGAATTTCTTTAATCTCAGCTTTAAGTCTTGCTATCAAAATTAAATCAAAGCAGCCAGCCTTGATTACAGTGTTGACCAGCTTGAAGTAATCAGTGTTCAATTCTAGTCATTCAGACATGATGAGTTTTCAGTGTTGCCTTGTATTTCTCCACTAATGCTCACACAGAAAAACAATGTTGTTTGTTGTTTTATCTGAGATCGGCAGATTACACAGCAAGGACAAAAAGCAAACTTCTCAATACATTCAAGTGATTTTTGCACAGCGAGCTGCTTAATCTCTAATCCTGTTTGTGAGCGGAGCCTTAAGGCTGTTATTTACACATAGTTTAACTTTTTACCCAGATCTTTTTAAGAGTTTTCTCTTCTCGTACAGAAATTAGTTTTGGGCCAAATCGACATCAAACGACAACTGTAAAACTTTTTGTGCCAAGATTGTTTTCAGACGTAAGACATTGTAAGCAGTGCTTAAACACAGGTTGGTTTATCTTCCTGTATCAGCTCCAGAGAATACAATAAGGACATTCGGGGGTCAACACTTAGCTGTGATACTCGTACACCAGAAAAATAAGGCAGAGGATCAATTTGAGACAGTGTGTCTCACGTCATACAGACATGATCAATAACGAATGCAGAAATGTATGTAAACAGAAAACATGCATGCTTTAATATATGCTCCTACATTTATTGCAAATTTAAAATTCCTTCCATGCTGTCCTTTGTGTTTTTTTTTTTTATTGTATAAAGAAAATGTTCTTGTTTTTTATTTTTATTTTTTACACTGTCCTAATGCTGACTATTCTCTGTCTGTGCACCATTTATTTTCTAAGATCTAAACTGAAAACCCTTTAATGTAGAAGTATCAAACTGCTGGACATCTCTTGGGTCACGGATGATCCCTATAGATGTCAAGGTCACAGGGTCAAAGGGTGAAGGTGATCCCTTTGTTGGAACCTGGTCTGTGCTCCAGTTTGACCTGAGTAACATAAAAATGCCAAACTCTTTGTCCCCTAGATTGTCCCTACCAATATAAATAAGACAGGACAAAGTAAGTTGTCCATAGTGGAACTCCACAAATGTTTAGGACCGAACATGTCCCCAGACTACGACTCCACATTGGACCTAAAGACCACTTCCACCGAAGGAGTCTCGAGTGGTTCAGGTGAAGTCTGTGCATGGTCTGGATGGTCTGGTCGTCATCAACAGGTGAGTTTTTCACATTACAGCTGATAGCTGCAGTTTCATGTTCTCACATGTTCTTCAATTGAACTGTTTGTCAATAGACAACATCATTATCAGTCAAATTGACCTTTCACCCCCACACATTGAGGATTGATTGAGGGAATTCATGCTTTGGATTTTGATTTACCCTGACAACTGACAGGCGTATGTTAGCTCTGCTTTGCTGCCCATTGTTTTATTAAAGTCTGAGTTTGTCCAGTGAATTAAAAAAAACTTTGCCTGTCTATCAGTTATACTTTCAACCATGGTTAAATGAATTGTTAACTCATAATTCATTCCAAAATCTTTACAGCTCCCATCTATTAAAATTTTCTCTGTTTAGCCTGAGCTGTGCAGTTACTGGCATATGAATAAGAGTTATTCTACGGACATTGTGACGTTTTCCTCTGATTGTGATTTGCTTAGCTGTGGAATTTGCTTTTCTGTTTGACCTGCTTCTCATGTCCTGTTATACTCTTGACTGCCTTTGCATAACTGTTTTAATCTGTTGGATTTCCTTTGTCTTCTACCTCACCCTACATCCCCCATGAGTGACCCTCTTCTACGTTCGTTTATTTTATGATGATCTCCACACTTTGGTCACCTCTGTTTCCCTTTGTACACTGCTGCTGTGTCCACACTGCTGACATGTGTAACAATGAAGGGTGGAGGGATGAAAGTGGGGCATTCAAGTGGCATATTTTAAAACATGTTTGCAAGGTTGTATCTGCAAATTCAATCAGACTCAACAGGCCCTTTCTACCACTTTTAATTTTTGACAATCCCTTTAGGTTGTTCACCTGTGCAACATTTCATTAAAAACAGCTGAAGAAACAGTCCCACCCAGCAGGGTAGACTCTTTTTTAAAATTCCCTTTCATTTGAGCAGATAAAAACCAGCTTGATGTTCTTCTGACTACAGCTGCACAAATTATTCAGAAGTTTGAGGTCCCAGGACTGATGACCTCCCTGGATGTGGCCCTAATGGGGTTGAAGAGGGATCATGCATACTGTAGCCAAAGAGTCCAGAACAACTTCCAAAAAGATTACAGGGAATCTCTGAGGTCAAGGGTCATCATTGTGAGATCACACCATCGATCGCTGTTTAAGCCAAAGTGGACCTGTTGGTGGACAACCAAGTCGGCCACCACTGCTGAAGGCAAATCATAGAATAGTGAGATTGGAATTTGCCGTAATGCTTATTGACAAGCCACCAAGCATCTGACAATGTCCTTTGGACAGATGAAACAAATCTGGAACATTTTAGCATCAAGTCTCATCAGCGCCATGTTCACTGACTCCATAAAATGAAACTATAAAGAAAGTGATTTGGTAGAGGAGTCTCGGTTCTGTTCTGCAGCTGCTTTGCTGCGTCTGACACAGGATGTCTTGAATATGTGCAGGGCACAATCAAATCTCAAGACTAACAAGGCATTCTGGTTTTCTGAGTCCTGATCCAAGTCCTGCTGAACGTCTG